TGAAAGATAGATCAATATATTGCAAATTTACCAAAGATCCAATGAAATTGGGGATGTGAGACTCACTGAAATTGATACCTCTAAGATTGAGGTAACGTAATTGTTTCACTTCAAGCAAACAAGAACTAAGTTTACCTCTTGGAAGATTATCCTCAAGATTAGTTGATAGATGGAGTTCAATGACATGACCGGTTACATTATCACACACAATTCCTTCCCATTCCTTCCCATTTAGTGCAACAATCAGCTCTATCCTTAGAATTTTTGACTCCTCCTTGAAGCACAATAGCGCCTGTTTCTCCTCTTCCTTGCAAATCCCAGTATTGTTGCTTCCGCTACAAATGCACAACCCCGTAACTAGAAAGATGAGGAAGGTGACGAGGAAGTGATCAATTTGAGATAAAGATGTCCCCATGATGAGAAAACTTTTAACAGTTTCAAAAGGGAAAATATATGTTTAGTTGGTTTTATCTTGAAGGCTTGAACGATAATTGTATATATATACACATGCTATGACATTAGTCGTCAACACCGATTAGGTTGCAATATTTTCCTGGAAGCATCACCGAAAATGATAGCAAAAAATTAAAATTTTTAAAAAATTGGATTATTTGGCCCACAACGCATTTTAGTTGACTCGTCTTATTTTTATTCAAAGTCTTCAGGAAAGCTCCCATTATCATTTAGGCAATTTATATCGTGCACCACAGCGCACATAGTAATGTGTGTCCAGACACAAAACGCGGGCGTTTCATGTTAATGTCATACTAACGTCACTTTGTCCATCCGAACAGACCAAACCCCATTATGTGTGTTCAGTTAAAAATTTATGTGTATTGTGTTATGAGTTTACGTGCATTTAGTTGAGAGTTTATGTGTATTATTTTAACCAAACTCCATTATGTGTATTCAGTCAAAAGTTTATGTGTATTGTGTAATGAGTTTATGTGTATTCAGTAAGAGTTTATGTGTATTATGTTAACCAAATCCTATTATGTGTATTCAGTTAAAAGTTTATGTGTATTATGTATTATGTAGATTATGTGTATTCTGTTATGAATTTTGTGTATTCTGTTATGAGTTTATGTGCATTCGAAACAGATGATTTTTTTTTAACAACTTAACAAAACAACGTCGTTTTGGGAGGCGCAGAGTGCACAGTGCTATGTGCGCCCTGGTGCACAGTATCACGATTGTATCATTTGTTATATCACCAATACAAAACAAAAATGTCACTGTAATTTATAGGACGGGTACGTCATAAATTATATTAGTGTTAAATAAATTATAACTATATTTCAAATGATTACTTTTACAATAATAAATAGAAATGTATATATCATTCAATCAATTTAAATTTCTATTTCAAACTAGCACATTTACAATTTACAATTTACAATAATATATATATAGGAGGATGTTCAAGTGAGAACGAGTTGTCCAGGAAAGAACTAAGAATCACTTACAGTCGTTCACGTGTTCAAATCTAACGGATCAGAAACACTGATTTTTTTTGGGAAATTTGTAAACAATGTCCCTCTATAATTGACCAATTATCAATGTCGCCCTTGAATTATGAATGGTGTAAATGTTGTCCCTCAATTATCAAAATGGTGCACATATAGCCCCTCCCGTAACGGACCTGTGAGTCAACGTTAGTCTACACCGTTTAGTTGGGGGTAATTAAGTAATTTACTTTTTTTTCCTTTTTCTTTTTATATTTTCCATTTCCCCTCCTCATACCATCGCCATTGAAGGGAGCGTCGTTTTACCTTTTCTCTTTAATATGAGTGGAACCGTCACCCACTTCACCAACTCACTTTCGCCATTTTTTTTTTCTCTGTAAATTCCTCTCATACGCTACAAGTAATTGAAACGTTTTTCGTTGTTCGTATACTCTTTGGTGGATTTTGAAACCGTAATGGCAGCGGAGCAGATTCGCAGCAGAAAGCTCATTGTGGAGATATGTAATGCGAAGAATTTGATGCCTAAGGATGGGTAGGGCACCGCCGGTGCCTATGTTTTGGTGGATTTCGACGGCCAGCGACAGCGGACGGCGACTAAGTTTCGGGATCTGAACCCGCAGTGGGAAGAGCGACGACTAAGTTTCGGGATCTGAACCCGCAGTGGGAGGATTAAGATCGCCCGGAGTAGTTTTGTGCAGGAGGGATCGGAGGCGCTGGTTTACTATTCTCACATATTCGCGCATCGTTTTCTCACAGATTAAGGGCGAGATCGGCGTTAAGGTTTGGTACGTGGACGAGGAAGCGGTGCCGCCGCCTCCGGAAGATAAGACGAAGGCGCCGGCGGAGGATAAGCCGCCGGAAAAGGTGGAAGAGGGGAGTCCACCGGCCGCGGACGGCGATAAGAAAGAACAGACCAGGAAGATCAGGAAAAGAAGCAGGAAATTTAGGAATTGAAGAAGAAGGAAGATTAGCTGCCAGAGGATCGGGAAAAAGGAAGAGGAAGCTACTCCTCCTCCTCCATAGCCACCGGCTGCTCAAACCTCCGCTTCGACACCGGGACCTGCCGGTTCTTCAATCAGCGATGGTCTCAAATGAGGATGGGAAAGGGAAAATATAAAAAAGAAAAAGGAAAAAATAAGTAAATTACTTAATTACCCCAACTAAACAGTGTAGACTAACGTGGACTCACAGGCCTGTTACGGGAGGGGCTATATGTGCACCATTTTTATAATTGAGGGGCAACATTTACACCATTCATAATTCAGGGGCGACATTGATAATTGGTCAATTATAGAAGGGCATTTTTTACAATTTTCCTTTTTTTTTTTTTTTAAACATGGTGCCATTTTAGTAAATAATTGAACATTGAAGTGCAAGTAACAGTTTTATATAGTGCACCAAAGTGCAAGTAAAATGTATTAAAAATGCAAATACAATGTACTCCGTATTAATAGTACAATAAATAATGTACGTTGAGAATCAATATTAAGTATCCCTCCAGCCGATAGCTAGAAGACTAATCTCCCGTCCCTACGGTCAGCGCACTAAGCGGTAGGGGACTGGCCAAATGTTTTGCTTCATTCACATAGGTGGGGATCGAAACGTTATCATTAGGTGCACTAATTAATATTAAACATGCACTATTAAGTGAAAATGGTTGCACTTTGAAGTGATTTTACTTGCATACTTGCACCAGTTACTTGCACTTTTCACACATTTTACTTGCACCAAAATTCGAGTTATATACGAAAATGCCACCACATTTTTTTTAAAATTACATATAATCTATTAAATCTGGACATGTGGACAATTGCGATTGGTTCTTAGTTCTTTCCTGGACATTCGTTAGCGCATATATATATTTTAGGACTACGGTTTACCTTGCAATGTGGACCTGCAAGGTGAACCTAGTCCATGGTATAACAAGTGGCTAAATCATATTCCTTTTCATATTGATATTTTGCTCGGTTATTCCCTGTTCTTCTTGTATTCAAATAAATATATAGCTGCTTCTGAGTTGTGAGATGAGTCAATTTTCAAAGCTCTCATCAATTCTTTGATTTGCATGTCGTAGGTGGAGATGAGTTAGGAGGGTTTTCTTAAAGTTGGGAGGGAAATCTTCTTTCGTCTTCCAAGTTTATCGAGAGAGATAGAAAGGAAGAATGATTTTGATGAGGGTGAGTTTTAGTACTATAGCATGCTCGCACTCTTTGGCTCTGTTTATTAGAGTATTTCAAGGATGGACTCAAAAAGGAGTGAATCTTGAATGCAAGTTAATTAATAAGAAATCTGACTAAGATAAACTATTAAATTGGACCAATGCCAGAAACTATGCCAGAATTAAAATATGAAAGAACAAGAAATAAGAAATGCACCAAACACCAAGATAGTGGATTTAAAAGTATTTTTAGTCGTCAAAGAACGCATTAAGTCATATGATAGTTATAAGTCTTTAGTCTTCATTCTCATCAAGTCTTTTACCAATTGTTTAATGAATCTTCATCCACCACACGACTTCTTGTTTTCGTTCGCCAGCACTTACAAATATATGAACATGACATTTAAGAAAATTTTCATTTATGAATATATAATTGAATATGACATGGAAAAATTCCTTACTTTCTACACCAGCCATTTGCTTATTTAGCTTTTAGATCAGTCTCACTAAACTTTCATTGGTATTGTTTATTGTGGTTAATATTTCTTGCCTACTAGAGCATTGACTCATCCACGAGCTGAGACATAGGGTCTCTGATAATGGGGTATGTTTGCTTCATCCTGAGCACCGAAGAAGATCTGAACATTGATATGCAATTCAGATTAATGGAGATATTGTCTATGGACAGAAGAGCCGCAATAGAGTCAGATTTGGATAGCAAGATCATTAACAATATCAAATAAGATTCAGGTTCTCCAAACGAATTCAGCTTCAATCTTGAAAAATAGTCAGAGATTCAAGTTTCGTGTAGCATTAGAAATTTGTTTCAATGTCTGATTGTAAGAATTATTTTATCATTCTATCGATCTTATTGTAAACTTTTTATCATATGATTAATGAATTAGCTCTTTTATTTAAAAAAAAATAGAAATAAAAATATATACAGGAAAGCAAAAATAATCCAATTTGAATTACGTACTGAATCTGGATTTGGAGACGAACATTTCATACAAGATTTTATTAATTCTGACTCACCTCCTTTACTATAAAACTGTGAACCATCAATTTGGAACCGAATTGAAGCGGGTCGCGTATGAAGAAGAAGCTAAGTTCAGAAAACAGAGTATTAGGAATTGAAGAAGAAGAATGAACTTAATTTATTACTGTCATAACTGTCATATTACAGTCTAGAGTTCGCCCCAAGAAACTATTTCCTGAGCCAATCAGAATAATTTAATAAATTACAATCACAACAATATATGTTACAACTAGTGGAGTAGCGGTACATGATAAATTACAACGTATTAAAAATACATTTAATGCAAACTTCAATCTTTACAGATGTTTTCTAACATTTAAGAAAATAGATAGAAGCATTAAGCACTCAAAGCATGTGCCCATACTAAAAAAGACCTCAACTTCTTATCTAAAAACTTAAAATAAGCAATCCTCCAAGATTTTACAAGAAACAAAGAGCCATAGATGCATCCAAAGCCCACTGCAAATCCTATAACCATGCTAACATAAAACCAATCCACTTCACAACCATCATCTCTTTCGCTTTCATTTTTGGGAATTTTACCACCATCAATACTGCTACAGCTTTTTGAGATCGGAGGGCCGCAGAGGTTGTTGCCAATGTAACACGAAGCATTAAAGCCTTGCAGTTGAGTACCTGAAGGTATCTTCCCAGTTAGGTTGTTATAGGACAGGTCTAAAACACCCAACGATGACAAACTTGAGAAGCTTGATGGAATTTTTCCTGAAAGTTGATTTCTTGAAAGATCAATTGATTCTAATAACTTCAGATTTCCCATCTCCACGGGGATATTTCCTGTCAAATTGTTTCTTGATAAATTCAAAGATTTCAATTTCACAAGATTCGTCAATTCAATTGGAATATCCCCATTAAAGTTGTTATTAGAAAAATCCATGCTAACAAACAACTTTAGAATGATAGTGAAATACTCGTACTCATGTCCTTTTGTAGTTACTAAAGCACTTTCACCAAAGCTCTCAGATGATGAATACCACCTCTCAAAGAATCCAACCGAAAGATCCACTTCATCATCAATCATTGCAGTGAGATTTTTAAGGCACTTAGGTATCACACCAGTGAGATTGTTATTGGAAATATCTAAAATGCGAAGAGATGTAAGATGACAGAACTCTGGAGACAATTCACCATTGAAGTTATTTGATCGAAGTCTTAAAATTGTCAAATATGAAAGAGAAGTCCCCAACCATCTTGGGATCGTCCCTGTGAATCCATTTTCAGCCAAATCAACTTTCATTAGCATGGAGCAATTTTGCAGCGATGGTATAGGGCCAGAAAGCATGTTTTTGTGCATGTCCAAAGATTCCAAATGACTCAAAAGCCTAATGGAATTTGGAATGCTTCCAATCAATTTGTTTTCCTTCATATTTAAAACTTCTAAGTATGGCCAATGCATCCAACAATCTGGAATTTCTCCAAATAAATCATTTCCTCCCAAATGAAGTATTCTGAGGTCATATTGCACCTTTTGTGCATGGCATAAGAAGTTAGAAATATTTCCTGACAATGAATTGTTTGACAAGTCTAACCCAAATATGTGGATAGAAATACGAGGTAAGGGACCACTAAATTGGTTAGAGTTCAAGTACACAAATAAAGACATACCAATCTCTCCAGTTGAATGAGATGGTATGTTTTGAATTTGGCCTCGCAATTGGTTGTGTGAAACATTAACTAATTCAATTTGAGAAGAAAAGTTCCATAACCAAGTTGGAAGCTCACCCTCTATTCCAGCATTAGAAATGTCCACCGCAGAAATTTGATGTTGAGATTGCAACCAAAGAGGAAATTGAGGACCCAAATTCCAGCCACTTAGATCAAGCCGATGAAGTTGGAAGGGAGGTGTCCAGTTTGGATTGACACGCATGGTTAATCTATTTTCAGATGCATCTAAAATGGTTAACTTTGTGAGATTAACAAAGTGATTTTCTGTCACTATGCCTTCCAACTTGTTATCTGAAATGTACAACCTTTCAATAATTGGAAATGAATACCCCAAATTCTCAGGAAGAGGTCCGCATAACCTGTTTCTTTCAAGATTAAGCCTTTGCAGCTTGTTGAGATTTCCAATTTGCTTTGATATCTCTCCAGTAAGCATATTACTAGAGAGATCAAGTGCTTGCAGCTTGCTGAGATTTCCAATTTGGTTAGGTATCTCTCCAGTAAGTTTTTAATGTATGCATCAACCACAGGAAATACTCTTCTTCTTGGAGGCATAGCCTAGACTTAGGGAATTTTGTACGACTTGTTAACATGATACGGAATTAGACATACAAATAACGGGTCAACTGACTTAACCCGTTAATATTAGCATTAGTTATGATTTTTAAATATTATTTTATTATTTTATGAATATTATGATATGCTATGAAATAAATAAATAAATAAATAAATATATATATATATATATATATATATACACACTATTTTGTTGATTTAATTATAGATTTATTAAAATAATTTTTTTCTAAAGTTTTATTTTCTAAAAAGAAAATTATATTAACATGCATGTCTAATGAGTTCTAAATATATAAAGTTATATTGTAGCAGTTGTTAAATTTGGTTATATTCTTCAAATTTTGTCTCATTACATTTTTAACTTAAATTTTGTTTATTTACAACCAATGTTGAAAAGACACTAGGTGCCCTAAGTTCTGATTTGTTGGCACCAAGGCGCTCGATATTTTTTGTTTTGTTTTTTTTTTTTTTTTTTTTAATTTTTTTTAATAAAAGATTTAAAAGAAAAAAAAATAAAGCAAAACCTAAACTAAAAAGTAAAAGGTAAAAACTGAAAAAAAAACAAATAAAATAAATAACATACGTACTTGAAGGCTGATTGGCTAGGTCGGCGACTGGCGGAGGCGGAGGCGACCGGAGGGCGTGGGCGAGTTGCGAGCAGTGCGTTTGAGGGGTTCTTCTTTTTTCGTTGCTGACTCGCTTCAAGCGATTTTTTAAGGGTTATTCGTCAAAACGACGTCGTTTGGCGAATAACCTTTTAAAAAAAAAAAAACTAGGGTTCAATTCGAGACAATTCGGCCGGCTAGGCAGTCTCCGCGCCGCCTAGATCTCTTAGGCTACCAGTCGCGGAGGAAGCCAATTCTGGCATTCCTTGACGCGGCCAGGCGCCGCCTAGCGGCTAGATGCGATTTTTGCAACATTGCTTACAATAGTTAATCTTTTATTTAAAATTGACATTGTACCATTTAATAAAGAATTTTACGCTAATCAAAGATGTAATGAATTTTTTTTTTTAAAATAAGACTAAATGTGACAATCACACATTAATCAAAGATTAAAAGTAAACTTCGTTATTTAAAATATAAACCTGTATTTAAATTTTACTCTAGACATGTCAATATTCAATACTGATGTGCTCATCAGTTTGCAATAAATTGCAAAGTCTGAGTATTAGTTACGTAATTCTAATTACCCAAAATTAATTAATGTTAAATTTGATACTTGCATTGTTATTTGCAAGTCTTTAGTCTTTAGTTGTCATTATCTTGAGCTTTCTCAGTCGTTAACCAATTTTTAGTGAAATGAATTATTGTACCCCAAATTGTAAGTTTGCTCCGTCAAGGCGTCAACAAGTAAAGACAAAAGACTTAAAACTCTATAAAACTTTTATATTTTGTTAGGAATATAGCGGAATAATGCGGAAGCGAAGAATCGAAAATTGAGAATTATAGAAGTTAAATAATAGGGAAAATATATAAATGAAGAAAATTATATAAAAGACAAAAGAATTAGGAATAAAGGAAATATATATTATAACTTAAAAGATTTGAAAGAATATAATATATATATATATATATATATATCTCTACGTGGGAAATGAAAGAAAGCAAATGAATGAATTCAAAATATATTGAATTGATGTGAGAATGAGCGATTATTACAAAGCAAATATTACTGCTATTTATACAATCAAAAAGGAGAAAAAAATGGCATGAAGATTGCAAACGTGCGCATGCAGATTAAGGACATGCAATGTTGGAGTGCAATGTGGACATGTGGCACTAACAATGGAGAAATGGTCTCATGGATTTTGAGCCACATATTTTAGTTTTCTAACAATCTCCACCTTGGATCAAATCCATTGTGGAATTAACAACTGGAACAGCCGACTAAACTCAAGTATGGCTTGAACTTAGCAATAGGAAAAGCTTCAGAATAGCAGGATGAATCACCATCAACTTCCTATGCGACTGAAAGAGCATAAGCAACCATATTGGTTTCATCGTCACTAGCGTACCTAGCAGGTTTCTTGATTGTCCTTCTAGGCCGATCCATAGCAATGGAATACTCTCGTTGTGGCTCGACGAGAGGTGCGGTGCTAGTAGATGCATCATCTTTAGTATTACCATCAGCAGTAGTAACACTATCACTAGGCCTGAACTCAAACTCCACCTTCTCACCAGTACTTTGCGTCTCACCAGTACTGGGAACTTTTCCAGAAGAAAGTAGTGCATTTTCATCAAAAGTGATATCTCGACTCAGAATGATTTTCCGAGAATCAGGAGACCATAGACGATACCCTTTTGACTCAGAAGCATAACCAAGGAAAATGCATTTGACAGCTCTCGGGTTTAATTTACCCGTACTGGAATGAGCATAAGCAGGACATCCAAAAACTCTTAAGATAGAGTAATCAACAGGATTACCTGACCAAACTTCCTCTGGAATTTTGAAATCAAGGGATGAATGTGGAGATCTATTTACCAAATAGCAAGCAGTAGAAACGGCCTCGGCCCAAAAATCACGCCGTTTCCATAACCCAGCATTAGAGAGCATACAACGAGCTCTTTCCAATAGAGTCCTGTTCAAACGTTCGGCAACACCATTTTGCTGGGGTTTACCAGGCAAGGTCTTGTGCCTGGCGATTCCATTTGCCGCACAGAAGTCATTGAAATCTGACTCACAGACCTCCAAGCCATTGTCTGTCCTGAGCTTCTTGACTTTTTTACCTGTCTGAGTCTCAACAAGTATTTTCCATTTCTTGAAAATAGAAAATGCCTGATTTTTATGTTTCAGGAAATAGACCCAGACTTTACGAGAAAAGTCATCAATAATAGACATAAAATATCTACAGCCTCCCATAGACTGGAATTTAGTCGGTCCCCATAAATCGGAATGTATATATTCCAATACATCTTTGGTACGGTGTGTAGCAGTAGAGAAGCTAACCCTCTTTTGTTTCCCAAAAATACAATGCTCACAAAATTGTAATTTACCCGTACCTGAACCACCAAGGAGGCCTTTTTTTGCTCAGGAGATGCATGCCTTTCTCACTCATATGTCCCAGACGCATATGCCATAATTGAGTGAGATCCGCATCAGACATCGATGAGGATACCGCTACTGAACCCGTCACAGTACTGCCATGCAAGACATACAAGCTTCCAGAACGAGAAGCTTTCATGAGAATAAGAGAGCCTTTTATGACCTTCAAAACTCCACCTTCAGCTGTGTACTTGCACCCCAGAGATTCCAAGGTGCCCAATGATATCAGATTGCGTTTCAAATCAGGAATATACCGAACATTGGTAAGAGTCCTGACAACGTTATCATGAGTTTCAATCTGAACACTTCCAATTCCACTAACCTTGCATTGGGTATCATTACCCAGCAAGACAACTCCACCATCAACCGGTTCCAGAGAGATGAACCAATCTTTGTGGGGACACATGTGGAATGTACAACCAGAGTCCAAAATCCACTCGGTTTCACTCCGTTTCTCACCGGAGCTAACAGATAACAACACATCACCATCTGAATCACTTTCAACAACACTAGCTTCAGCGGACTTCTTTTCTCTCTCTTGCTTGTTTTTCAACTTGAAGCATTCAGTCACATCATGACCATGCTTCTTGCAGTACTTACAGGATTTGTTGGACTTATGTCCTTTGGACTTGGATCTAGAATTTTTATTGCTACTCCCTGATTCAAGTGAACGACCCCTTACAGTCAAGCCTTCACCTTTGTCCTCAGACTTAATTTCAAAGTCAAACTTTTCTTTGGACAATAGGTTTGACTTAACACTGTCGAAAGTAAGGGTATCACTACTATTACCATACAGCATAATTTCTTTGAAATGCTTGTATGAATTAGGGAGAGAGACAAGCAATAAAACAGCACGATCCTCATCGTCAATTATGACATCAATATTTTCCAAGTCCAATAAAATAGAATTGAATTCATCTAAGTGAGACTTAATAGAAGTACCTTCCGTCATACGGATTGTGTACAGACGCTCCTTCAGGCGTAGCGTGTTCGCCAGAGTTTTGGCCATGTAAAGCGTATCCAGCTTGGACCATAAATCTGACGCAGTCGTCTCACTTAATACCTCACGTAGAACCTCTTTAGACAGACACAAAAGAATGGTTGAACGTGCCTTGTCATCCAGATCTTCCCAATCTACATCTGTCATTGTAGCCGGTTTCTTCTTCTTCCCAGCTAGCGCTTTCTTTAAACCGTTCTGGGTTAGAACGGCTTCCATCTGAACCTTCCAGATAGAAAAGCTAATTTTCCCGTTGAACTTCTCGATATCGAACTTGGTAACAGTTGACATCTTTGAAAATAACTCTCAATTAAACCGCTCTGATACCACTTGTTAGGAATATAGCGGAATAATGCGGAAGCGAAGAATCGAAAATTGAGAATTATAGAAGTTAAATAATAGGGAAAATATATAAATGAAGAAAATTATATAAAAGACAAAAGAATTAGGAATAAAGGAAATATATATTATAACTTAAAAGAGTTGAAAGAATATAATATATATATATATATATCTCTACGTGGGAAATGAAAGAAAGCAAATGAATGAATTCAAAATATATTGAATTGATGTGAGAATGAGCGATTATTACAAAGCAAATATTACTGCTATTTATACAATCAAAAAGGAGAAAAAATGGCATGAAGATTGCAAACGTGCGCATGCAGATTAAGGACATGCAATGTTGGAGTGCAATGTGGACATGTGGCACTAACAATGGAGAAATGGTCTCATGGATTTTGAGCCACATATTTTAGTTTTCTAACATATTTAAATCAATACCATAGTGGTCACTTTGCAATAAGTCTGATCACCCAAAATACATGTTAACTATGATAGCAGCATTGCAAGTCTTTAGTCTTTAGTCGTTATGTTACTGTCCTGAGTGGCTGAGTTCTCTGGGTCGTTAACCAATTTTTTGGGGAACTATCTTCCACCACAAATTTTAATTAGAAGAATATAATCCTTACTCTATTATTTTTTTTTTTTTTGAAAGAAATTATTATTATTATTATTATTATTATTATTATTATTATTTCTTTCTTTCTTTCTTTGGATGACTATATGTAAAACTGCGGGCACTACTAGGTGAAAAACCCCTTATGTGTAAAAATTATTTTAGAGAGCCTGTTGCAAAGACCACAATTACATAAGATAGATAAATTACACTAGGAAGACCACTTAAAATTAATAACGTTAACAAGAATCGAACTTGTAATCTTTAAATACAAAAATCATACTTTTTGAATTTTTTCTTTCTTTCTTTCCTTGTATCTAGATGGAGAATTTTCCATTTCATTTGCAGAACCAACATCTTTATAACGCTTGTTGTCAATGTATGCATCAGCATCAACCACAGGAAATAACCTCTTCTTCCGGGAGCCATAGCCTAGACTTAGGCAACTTTGTGATACAACTTGTTAACATGATGCGAAATTAGACCCACAATAACGAGTTAGTGTTTACTTTTAATATATTCCACGTCATTAATAGGTTGACTCGTTAAAAATCCATTAAAATTCATGTATTAACAGATTCTAATTAATCCCCTTTACACAAAGTGCTGGCTATACAAGAGGGAGTTCAAACTCACAACCTCTCTTAAGTCGAGAGTGCACGGCCACTCACGCCAATCAAACTGTTTAATATGTATACTATTTTATTGATTTAATTGTAGATCTATCTAATAAAATAATTTTTGCTAAAGTTATATTTTCTATAAAAAAAACAATTATATTAACATGCATATCTAATGAGTTCTAAATGAGGAGTCATTATACTGTGCATCCGTGTGCACCATGCATGGTGCACGGACGCAAAAACGACGTTGTTTTGACGTCGACTTAAAAAAAAAATTAAAAATTCAGAATTGCATAACTAAAAATCCATAATTTCATAACTATACATCCAGAATTGCATAACTATACATTCAGAAATTATGCACAACGTAATGTTGTTGACGGGAATCGAAGCTGATTCTTTTTTTTATATATATAAGTTGGACGCGCGTTTTTATTCAAAACGACGTCGTTTTTGCATTCGTGTGCACCATGCATGGTGCACACAGATGCACAACATAATTTTCCCTAAATGAGCTATTATGGCCAATGACCTTATGGTCTAATGACATGAAGTGACTCTTCTAAATGGGGAAGTCATGAGTTTAAGTCCTAGTAAACAAGAACTAAGTTTACCTCTTGGAAGATTATCCTCAAAAGTTGATAGATGGAGTTCAATGACATGACCGGTTGCATTATCACACACAACTCCTTCCCATTCAGTGCAACAATCAGCTCTATCAACCCAATTCATTGGAAATTTTGACTCCTCCATGAAGCACAATAGCACCACGTTCCATATTATGTATCTGGTTTGGGTGACGAGATTTATAGAGAAAATAAGCAAAAAAAAAAATGTTTATAAATAGTAAACATGACAGGTAAAATGGATAGATGGAGTAATATATTTATTAAATTTTTAAATTAAAAATTTAATAAAATACTAAAGATGAGTTACTCTATGTATGTTATGTTCTACATCACTTCTATAATAAAGAATAACACTCAAGCTATCGGGCTAGCCCACTAAATTTCAGGCTAACCCGTTCGGACCGCCGATTTCGTGCATATTATACTAGTTTTTATTGTGCTAAAATATTTCGGGTCTACCCCTAAGATTTTAAAATTTTATCGGGCCAACACATCAAATTCGGACTAAGCTAGATTGATATCTTAATTTTCAGCAATTTATATCATGGACTAGGGTCTACATAGAACTATGGACCTTGGATTGAAACGACGATGTACAAAATTCATACTCGTGAACAATGTTGCAAAAAATAGCGCGGGTGGCCAGCCACCTAGAATTTTGGCAAAATCGTCGTTCTAGGCGGCCTAGGTGCCGACTAGGTTGTGGAAGACTAGGCGGGCATTAAGGCTGCTGGTTAGCTATTTTTCCTTTTTTTTTTTTAAATGGGTTATTTCGCTCAAACCGACACCGTTTTTAGTGAAATAACCCTAAATTATTCAATTCGGTCGCAAACCCAAAAATGTAATTAATATATTGAAATCAAGTTATCTAATATTAATTAATACTTTGTGAGTTGTGACTTTGTGTTGTGTTTTGATTCTTTAAATCTTCATACAATTTAAAATTCTAGATGTACGCCTAGCGATTTTTGCAACCTTCCTCATGAGGTAAAGAATTTCATAACACAAAGATACAAAAAATCAAAACTCAAGACACATACACATTATATTATAATATATTTACTTATTTTCCAAATATGATTTATGTATATAATATGTGTTTATAGGCACATAATTTCACAACACAAGACATACAAATTCATAACATAAGACACAATTACTAATTTGTTTCAAATACAATTCATATTCTTAAGGTATAAAATTTTATAACAAAGACACAAAAACTTACAACATAAGACAATGTAGGCCCTAGTCCGAATCGCTAATTTTCAATATGCAATAAATTCAGCAATCGTTATATCGTATCAGGACACACAATGTATTGTGCGTCCTGTCCAAAACGACGTCATTTTTTATGTTCAGATTTTATGTGTATTATGTTAAGAGTTTATGTGTAAAAGTTTATGTATATTATGTTATAATGAGTTTTTGTGTATTATGTTAAGAGTTTATGTTTATTATGTTAAGAGTTTATGTGTATTATGTTAAGAGTTTATGTGTATTCTGTTAAGAGTTTATGTGTTTTATGTTATGAGTTTATGTGTATTATGTTATGAGTTTATGTGTATTATGTATTATGCTAGATTATGTGTATTATGATATAAGTTTATGTGTATTATGTTATGAGTTTATATACATTCAAAACAAGGGAATTTTTTTTAAAGTTAACGGTAGAAACGGGAAACGGAATTTAAAAAAAAAAAAAAAAAAGACCAAAACGACGTCGTTTTGGCTAGGGCGCCAATGCATTGAAATTTATTGATTTAAGAATAATTTTGTCAGATAAAAAAAATAGTACAATATTAGTAAAGTAATGTATAATTGTATGTACCAAAAAGAAGTAATGTATAATTGTACCATTATAAAATAGGGGTGTAAACGAGCCGAGCCGAGCTCGAGCATGGGTTGGCTCGAGCTCGATAAGCATAGTTCGGCTCGAGCTCGATCGAGCTCGAGCTGCTCAATTGTTCGAGCTCGATCTTGAGCTCGAATTCGGGCTTGATTTGAGCTCGATTTTAATCTCGAGTTTGACCTATTTGAATTCATATTTCAATTAATAATAAATATTATTTTATCCATACATAAATAATCTAAACTTTAAAAATTCAAAAGTCCAAACTTTGGTAGTGGCATCTGAATTGATGCTCCTCCTTATCGGCACTAGTGGCGTCTCCGGGGAAACACCGAGAGATTTAGGCAGCGGGTATGCAACTGCAATAGATTTAGGTTTTTCCTACTCTGCGAGTTTTAAGTAATATATATATATATATATATATATATATATTTATATTTATATTTAATATTTATCTATTTATTTAATTATGGCTCGCGAGCGGCTCGACGAGTCACGAACCTAGAATATTTGAGCTCGAGCTCGGCTCGTTTACTAAACGAGCCGCTCGAGTTTGACTCGAGCTCGAGCCGAGCTTTGACCTAGCGGCTCGTGAATCACTCGCGAGCCCTCGGCTCATTTACACCTCTATTATAAAAATAGAGACAAAAAATATTAATACCATAATGACCTAAATTATTTTCAATAATAATGCAAACGTATAATTAAAATATTGAGTTTGTTCTAAATAATCAAAAGAAGATTAATTAAACAAAAAAAAAAAAAAAAACTTAACCTAGATTTCTTTTATTTAAAAAAATGCAAGAAAATGATTTTCAAGATTCCTTATTTGTAATCTTTGATGCTCAACTTTGAATGTTATATATATATATATATATATATATATATATATATATATATATATATATTCTAGCTAATTAATTGACAAAAGTTCATGTTAAATTTTATGAGTTAATTACATTAGAGGTCTGTTGTTTTTTGTGGCAATTCCAAATTTAGTTACAGACAATCGTTTTTGTCATTTAACAAATGATGTCTTCTCTTTTTTCGCATTTATTCTAATTCTTACATAGAAATAGATATGAGTGCGGTTTAGTTTTGATTATGAACCACCAGTTTACGATTTCGGTTCCGATTTGAACCACTTGTTCGAACTTTTTTTTAAAAAAATAATTCTTTTTTCTATTTTTAAAATAGTTTAAATTCAAAAATTATTTTTTTCCCGCATCGTGATTTTAATAAATCAAAATCTAAAAATTAGATTTCTGGTTCTGAATCATAACCGAAACCTTTCAATTTGGTTACTCCAATGTCTGGTTCAGTTCAAACTAGTCGGTTCGAAGCGAACAGTGTTTAACACTCTATATTAGCAATAATTTGTTGGAGAAGATAAATAAATGCAATATTTAAATTTAACGATGAAAATGTCTATTTAATAAAAAAGGATACAATCTTTATTTTTAACATAATTGATGGGACTAATGTAGATACATGAATAATTTAGAGGTAAAAGTGATATAAGCATATAATTCAGGGGAGAGATAATGATGAAACTAATAAGGAAACTTGCAACGTCATACTCAATCATATATATTTTCAACATGCAATAAATTCAGTTCACAAACATCTATCTCAACGCCGGCCTATAATAACTATATGAGCATGACATCCCCCTAAATTATACGCTTAGTGGTCAGTTTGCAATAAATTGCAAAGTCTGATCACCCAAAATACATGTTAGCTATGATACCTGCGTTGCAAGTCTTTAGTCTTTAGTCGTTACTGTCCTGAGTGGCTGAGTTCACTGGGTCATTAACCAATTTTTTGGGGAACTTTCTTCCACCACAAATTTTAATTGGAGGAATCCTTACTTTTTTTTTTTCTTTTTTAAAAATTTCTTTCTTTGGATGACTATGTAAACCTACAGGCACTACTAGATAAATTAGAACACGACCACATAAAAAAAATAAACTATACTAGAAAGACCACTCGTAAAAAATGTTGACAAGAATTGAGTTCGTAACCTTTAAATACAAAAATTATGCTCTACCCACTCGGTCATCCTTCTTCGAGTGCACATATTCTGTTTGACTACTTTAGTTTTCCTTTTGAGTGCAAATCTTTATAACTTTGTGTGCAAACATTTGGCCTTCAAGTGCACATTTATGTTCGTTCAAGTGCACTTTTTGTGCATTCAATAGCATATTTATTGGTCAATGTTTATTATATGTCTTGCAATCTTTTCAATAATCTATAAGGATAAAGTACAAATAAGCCACTGAACTATTTGGAAAAAAGCAATTAAGCCATCGAACTCAAATAACCCCCAAATAAGCCATTGAACTAGAATAAAAAAACAATTAACATTTTTAACAGGTTAACTCCAGGTTTTTATTAACTGGATTCCCAAATATTTATTGTATTTACATTTTTTTTTTATTATAATCCACCTACATGGTAATATATTTAAAGTAATTATAATCAAAATAGTTTTGTCTTGTCTAGATCTAATTTATTTATTTATTATTATTATTTTTTAAACAGAAGATCTAGTGAAAAATAATAAATAAATAAATAAACAAGACAAAACTAGTTTGATTATAATAATTATTTTAAAATATAATACTATCCAAATGGATAATATTAATAAACGTAAATAAAATAAACATTTTGCAATCCAGACAGCAAAAACCTATAGTTAACCTGTTAAAAATATTAATTGCTCTTTATTTCCAGGTTCAATGGCTTATTTGCTCTTTATTTCCAGGTTCAATGACTTATTTGGGGGTTATTTGAGTTCGATGGCTTAATTGATATTTCTCAAGTAGTTTGGTGGCTTATTTGTACTTTATCCCTAATCTATAACTAAATATCTAATGAAATTTGTGAGATTTACAAACAATTTGTATGACAATTGCTTCAATAACACTTAAGTTGAATAACTTTCCTTTTTGGGACTAGGATTTGAGTTGTATTGCATAAAGGAGATTGTTTGGGTGTTCTAGGGTTAGTTGTGTGATTTTGGATTGTTATGAAATTGTGTATAATTGTTGGATCCCAATTATATGCTTTATTTGGAGTGTGTTTGTTGCTACGAGAGTAGAGCTTGTACACTAGCCACACATTCACATACTTGATGCCCAATACGAGAGTATTTCGGGTATTAAGGAGAATTTATGCCTTGTGTTCTTGCTTGGGAAACCTTGGATTGAATTGCCACGAGAGTGGAGTTTAAGGATAGGTTGCAAGTCCAAATTGTTACGAGAGTGGTATTCGGACACTTTTGTGCATCTCACTTACCCGGGGATGACTTGGTTTTTATTGTTTTGTGGTAGTTAACATTAGTGAATGACTATTCTAGGAGACTAGACCATTTTTCTATGTTTTTATTTTCTTTTTATTTTCCTTATGTGCTCAAGTGCTAATTGATCAATCTTGTTTGGGATTTTCGGATGAATGTACCTTGCTAGATGCATTTATTATAGATCAAGGAGTAGTTTGGTACATCGTCCACCCAAAGAAGAACTTTCAATATGTATGGGTATGAGTTTCAAGGATCCTTACCACCATTCCAAATTCCTCCCCATGGATACGAAATGAATTTGAATATGAGCCAAACATATGGAGGAATGGAAAAACAAGAATCACATCTCAATCTTGCCTACATAAGTCAAGAAGCTTTTCAAGGAGGCAACCATCATTTACTATGCCACACCCTTTATGGTGTACCATTTGTGGAGGAGCACATGACGCCGAAAATTGCTATACATTGGCTCCTAACTACCAACATTTGTGTCAATTTCAAGAGCCTCAACAAGGATTTCAACCCCTTGAACAAGAGTCCGAGATGATGTCCAAGTTGATGAGTTTGATCATGCAAACATCTTCTCGATTGGATGAGTTACAAACCTCCACGGATAACATGATGGCTCCAATACAAAGTAGGGCAACTCAAGAGTCCATTCAAGATTCATTGTCCAAAGAAGAGGTTCAACAAGAGTTGCCTTTATCTAATGAAGGGGATGAGGTTGTTGGAGATGAGAAAGTAAGGGAAAATCTTGAAAATGAAGTGCTTGAGGAGTGTCTTGAATCCAATCGTTTTAATGAAGAAGATGACAAGATTGAGACTCAAATTGAGATTCAAGATAATGGTGCCAAGGAACCTTTGCAATATGACCCATTTGAAGAAGAAGAAGAAGAAGAAGAAGAAGAAGAAGAAGAAGAAGAAGAAGAAGAAGTAAATGAAAGTGAAGTTGATAACATGCAAAGTGAATTTGATGAATTCTCTCCAATGGATGATACTCTCATTAGTGAAGGCTTTATAAGAGTGTGGGAACCGGGAGGAGTTGATGTTCTTGAAAATGGAAGCCCGAATTGGCCTATATTCATATCAAAGGATTCCAAATTCTTATTGGTGCATGAGAAAGATCCAAGACTCTCCTTATTTGCAAATGAAAAGGAAAGTCAAGAAGAGAAAAGAACTGGAGACCAAGGAAATGATCAAGCTCTTGAGCATTATCAAGACCCAATCTTTAGGATGAAGACCTCATTTGGTTTATGGATCAAAAATGGATTTGAGGAAAAGATATTCTTGGAGTTTGATTTGGATGAGCTTAGTGTCTTAAACTTTCAAGTGGTGAAGATGAGCTTAAGTGAATTTATTGATTGCCACCACTTGAAGAAATACCTAGAAGAAAAGGTTGATAGAAAGATGGGAATTTTTCTCCTCCAATCCATTGATGGTTGAACACTTGAGAGCTTGAGTCGAGCTAGCGACGTTAAACTTAGCGCTTCATGAGAGGCACCTCATGTTATCTTTCACTTTATTGCATTTTATTTTATTTTTTCTTTATATTTTGAATTTTGATATATTATGCTTTCACTTGTGCTTTCATGTGTATATTCTCTTGACTCTAGGAGTAACACTAAAGAGTATGTTCAATTCCAAGAAGGCTCCATGATGATTCTTTGGCATAAGAAGATTCATTAGGGGAGTCTCATCTACTTTCTCTACTTTGTTTAAATGTGTTTAGTGCTTTACTTAGTGTAAATAGTAGAGAATGTGTTCCTTGTGTTTATTGTGCCATCATTTCCCCCTTGTGCTTTATTTTCTTTCACATCGAGGACGATGTAGCCTTTAAGTGTGGGGGAGGGGATAATTTGGGTGTTCTCTAAAAAAATAAAATTGAACTTTTTGAAACCTTTCTTGGATGACTCATTGTGTTTTGTGTTGAATAAATTGTCTTTATATACTTGAATTTGTGATTACTCCGCTTTGTTGGTTTATGGTTTGCTTGGTGGAACTTGTTACAACGCAACCTGTGATTGATGAGTCAAGGTGTATCACATGATTGATCTATTCTCTTGCCAATGGTCTTGTTAACCACTTAATAATTGAATAAATTCATCTTGTGTGTTGTGCATTGCTAGTGAAGGCTTATGTGATATTTCGGTAATGATTGTTTTGCTAGAACTTGCCTCATTACTCTCCAAGTGAAATATAAGATTTGCATGTTTTGAAATGATTTAGGCCTTTTTCGTTTAGTCCAAGCCTTTAAGCCTACCTTTTAAACATATCTTTACCCCTAATTGTCCCCGTTGAGCCTTTTCTTTGTTTAATAAGTGCTAAGCACTTGTTCATTAATTGTGATTGTTTTTCCTTGTGTTAACCCTCATCATTTAACCTTCAACCCTTAGCCAAAATGTTTCCCTCCACCCTTGAGAGAATAGAGCATTTGTTCTTTTTCTTGGAAGTGATTCATTTTCTTTTTTGGAGCTTGTTTTGTTAGCAACACTCTCTATAATGTTATCTAAGTGTGGTGGTCTTGATTTATTGAAAACGTTTTGTAATTTTGCATTTTCTCTTTTTAGATAGATAAACAGGATTAATCAACTGTCAGAGATTACTGATTGATTCAGTTACGAAGTCAGTCAGTAATAATAAATCATGGAGAAGATGTAAGAGAAAGATAACAACACAAATCCAACGACACAGAATATTTACCCAGTTCGATACAGTGTGTATCTACGTCTGGGGGACGATCACATAGGCGTCCAATCCACTAAATCATAATCCAATGTACAAAGGTAGATATACAATAATCTTACCCAAGTGCCCCACACATGGTACATACCCAGTCTACATAGGTTTAGTGGATTGTTGAAGATGGAGAGCCATGCATACAGAAGTCCAATGAAATCCCTTCACTTGGAAAGCCCACTCTGATGCAGTCCACTTCAATGACGCTCTTTACAGTTGTTCCCACAACAGTGTGATCACAGTGTCCTTTCGTTTAAGCAGCAGTGTTTCTTCTCAAGTTCATCATCTTAATCACCATGAACATATTGTATTGAGAAGATGCATGACAATCAAAGATCTAGTCTCATATAGCAGATAGGGAGTGTTTCTTATTACTTTCGGCGTAACCCTAATTCTCTTCGAATAAGGGTACTTATAGATTCTTCAATAAACACTCTCCATAGATGACTTTGATTGTGGAAGATAGGACTATAAAAGAGGAATGTAATCTCAGAAGATTAGGTCCATACCTTTCTTGAAAATATACGCTAATCTTCTTTCCAAACTTGTCTGATAATACCGCGTATAGTCTTTTAGAAATCAGCTTCCTAAATCAGATCTTCAGTGTCAGTCCTTCTGTTGTTGCTTCTGATTGATCAGTCGTCTGTAGAGCTGGACGGACATACTCTAAACCTATCTTAGTATGCCATAATAATATTGCCAATTATAATATGGGATTTTTGAACATTTAAAAACACTAACACGTTTCGTTGTTGATTTGAAAAGAAAATGATGAGAAAAATGAAAAAAAAAAGTCATGAAAATGTTGAAAAGAGATGAAGAAATGAAAAAGAAGAAGTTCAATAAAAGTTTGATAGTTTGATTTGAAAATTGTTTTCAACCTCCACTACTTTAGAGTGTTGTTTTGTGTTTAATTAGTTTTAGTTGCTCCTTAGTTCTTTGATGCCATATCTCTTCCAATCTCAATTGTGAATAAGTGTGAAGTTCTCTCTTTTGTTTGATTTCCTTACCCGTTCTTTGTCAACCATTCACCCTTAGCCCCATTACAAGCCTAATAAAAGTCCTACTTGATCTTAGCATGCAATCTTAGAGTTAAACTAGTGGGAGTATGAAGGGCAAGCCTATGGAATATTGTAATACCCACTAACTTAGAAATAAAAATATACCTATGTTATTAAAATAGGTCAACAAGTCAAAGGTTATTAAAATTGATATTGGATTAATTTACTAAAGTACCCCTCTTTACCCTTAAAGGTTAAGGAACCACTTTGGTCTTGGATAAACATTTCATTTGAAAGAAGATAAGGGGAGCTAACTAGAGAGAGATAGGGGAAGGAAAACCATGGAGCTTTGATCTCCATCTTCTTCAAGCTTAGATCTCAAAGCTATTGGAGTATTCTAGGTAAGTTTGACCTCTATATTTCACTCTTTGAGTTGGGTTTATCATTTGAGCCCTAAGATTAATGTTTGAAAATATTAGGATTTTGACAAGGAGTATTTGGGCGAGCTTAATAGCTAAAATTTGGATGTTTTAGGTAAGTGATTAACTCTTCTCTCCTTATTTTGCAAAACTGATCACTTATTATGGAATAATCTCCACTACTTTGAATACCCATTTTAAGGTTAGTATGAGTTAAAAATATTATAGACTATGATATTTTGTGGGTTTGAAACGCTAAGCTGCAGTCTGGACTGGAATTCTTATGTATTTTGGAGTTTGGACTAAAATTGTGTTTGGGTTTGGGTTTGTTGGAATTGTGTTTTCGAAATGAAGGTTAAGGAAAATTTCTGACTAAAATTACCATCATGTGCAGTGATGGTAGAATGGTTTATGGTTGCTGTGTTGGTGGTGGTTAGTCCTGGGTTCGATTCTATATTGCTATATATGCCTTATGTTTGTTCTATATATTTAATATATGCTTATAAAATGAATTATTTATTTAAAGTGAGACTTGAACTCTTAATCTCATGCTTAAAGTTCTTTCAAACTAAGCCATTACAATCCCTTTGAAATTACTTTGGTTTAATAAACTATTCTATGATTTTTAAAGAGTTATGTACTAAGAAAATTATTATTTTGAGAATGGTTTATACCTTGCATCTTTCTTAGTTTGATAAACTTATTATCTATTTTGGAAATATGAACTTTGTTATGTGATTTTAAGCAAATGATTTTGCTACATCGGGCTATTTGATTATAAGAACTATTTTGATTGTTTGATCAAACTCATGAGGCAACCTACATTTTGTTGTTTGTTTTGTTTGGCTTGGAACGTTCCTAATTGCTCATTCCGAATCGTCGAGCTTGACTCATTCAGAATCGTCGTGTCTTTTGAATTATTTGTTGGAACGTTCCATCCGGCTCATTCTGAATCGTCGAGCCTGACTCATTCCGAATCGTCGAGTCTGACTTATTCCGAATCGTTGAGTCTGACTCATTCCGAATCGTCGAGTCTTTCTAAACCATTATGCCGATAATGGCCTTTGCCACGGGTTATAATAGTGGCTGTACGTTGCCAATGAGTCATATGTTAAGAAATGATTGATGCTTTTGAAAGTATTGTATTATGAAATGATGTTGATGCCCATGTAGCTAAAGTTTTTCGTTTTGGGAATTTGTGTATAGTACGATGGAAGTATGTTATGATTTTGATATAATTTAAGGATTGAGTTTTGCATCTATTTATTACTCTCATGTTTTTTTGTATTCTATTGGGGCTATTTGATCCGGGATGAGAGGAGTACCACTTACTGGGCATAAGCTCATTATTTGTATTTTCCTCATGTTTCAGAGTAGTTAAGGACATGTGAATAGCACGAGCACAAGTGGTGGGTCTCGAAGGTGACTTCTGAAACTTGGAGAGTTAGTCCTAGTTTTGGAGCTTATCATGGATTTTTGTTTATTTAGACTTTCCCTTTGACCCTTTGTATTTTTGGTAGACCATTGTGCTTGGTTTTGGTGCTTGTGATGCATTTTGGACATACTACTCTTGATTGTAAATATCTAACAGTGGATTTGATGAGTTTATGGGAAGAACAAGTCGATTATATTTTGTCATTTTGGGTTGTGGAATTATTGTATATTCAAGTGTTATTATGAAGTTTCTGAGAAGTATGTATGGTTAGGCTTCGTATTGTTACAGGTCTTCACGTAACGATACGGCCGGGTCATGTCCTAGAAGTGGGGCGTGACAAATATAATCTCATTCAAAGCCAAGTTTTGCATAATCTCAACTTAGTATTTGTGCACACTTGATCCTCACGTTCTATAATAATTTTGGTGATTGGTTATTGTCTTGAGAATGGAACTTGTGTGGAATGCTAAGATGATTCTTAATTGAAACAAGTTGTGTTGTGTCGAGTTGGATTGTGGGTTGTTAAGTTGTGCGAAGTGGGAGTATGATCAACTTCAGTGCTATATTGGTGATTTAGTTCTTGTTTTTGCTTGAGGACAATCAAAGGTTTAAGTGTGGGGGAGTTGATAAGTGCCAAAATGTTAATGTTTTCACCTTGCATTTAAGCTTATTTTCCTTGTTATTTGTTATAATTTTGCCCAAAGTGTCCTCATTTGATTCATTTGTGTGCCTATGAGTAATTCTTGATGATTTAGATGAATTGACTGATTTTTGGGGCATTTCGGATGCATGTAGAGTCAACAGGAGCCAATGAGAAGCTATGAAGATGGGGGCAACAACTTTAATTTTAGAGAGCCAAATTATGGTGTGTTTATTGGTCTTGATCATTTGGACAAACAAAGGCAAAAGTGGAGCAAAAGAGCAAAAGAGCAAGAAGTTGAAATCGTCCATTGCTCGGTGTTTTCATCATATCTCTGCGTAGGATTGTCCAAATCAAGTGATTTTTATGTCATTGGAAAGCTAACTTGAAGAGCTACAACTTAGATGAGGACCACAAAAACTAATTCAAAAGTTTCTAAGGTGCAAAATTACTTAGAAGACAGACTCAGTGCACAGGCAGTGCACACTTCCTTGTAGCCATGGGTGTGGCCACGCCCGTGGCCACTGGGCAGTATACACTGCATTTCTGGCCACGGGTGAAGCCACACCCGCGACCAGCGTCTGCAACTTATTGAAGCGCGATTTTGACCCCTTTTAAGGGGATTTTTTCACCCCAAAACACATCTTTCATTTCCCTTTCATTCTCTAGTTAAGTTTAGCTCTAGAATAGCTTAGATTAGTGTAGATTACTTGTTCCTTTACATTTCCAAGCTCAAGAACATTGCAAATCTTGGATTTCAAAGCTTCAATAGAGAAGTTTTCTTATTCATCTCTTCTCTTTACTTTTCATCTATGCTTTCAACTACTCTTTTAATATTGTGTATCTATTGTTATATTATGAGTATCTAAGTGTTTTGGGACTAGGATTTGGTTTGATTTCTTGCTATTGATGTCTATTTGAGTTGTATTGCATAAAGGAGATTGTCTGGGTGTTCTAGGGTTAGTTGTGTGATTTTGGATTGTTATAAAATTGTGTATAATTGTTGGATCCCAATTATATGCTTTATTTGGAGTGTGTTTGTTGCTACGAGAGTAGAGCTTGTACACTAGCCACATATTCACACACTTGATGCCCAATACGAGAGTATTTCTGGTATTAAGGATAATTTATGCCTTGTGTTCTTGCTTGGGCAACCTTGGATTGAATTGCCACGAGAGTGGAGTTTAAGGATAGGTTGCAAGTCCAAATAGCTACGAGAGTGGTATTTTGACACTTTTGTGCATCTCACTTACCCTATGCCTTGTTTAATTCCCTAATCTTAGTGTATCATTTGGCATCTTAGCTTGAATCAACCAAGTCCGGTCCTTTGTTTTGCTTGTCTATTTTGTTATTTGTTAATTCTTATCAAACCAACTCTTTTAACGATTGACCTAGCTTCTATAACGATAGTTTTAGCTTGTGCTTAACTCCACTTTGCATCAATTCCTAACATTCAAGAGCCATCTCCAGTGGAATGATATCTAAACTCTATACTGTGATTTGATACTTGATGGATGCGTGAAAATCGTCCTCATCACCCTAGTATGTGCACAAGGCTGGTTGAGGTTACCAAATCAACCAGTTAAGGTTGAAGAAAATATTGATGATGTTTAAAAGCTTGAACACAGTAATTTATTTAAACTTTACATTCTGTTTTACCTTTTTAAATTTAGATATGAATATCATTTCTTTGTTTTTCTTTGCACTTTGCAGAGTTGGCTACTGGAATAAGTGGAATTGGAAGCACAGGATCTGGGGCTGCTAGTTCTTCCCTTCCTACCATTCCTGTAATGTTTTATTTACAGTCATTCCATTTTCTTGTGATATGTGATTTCACTGATTTCTGATTTGATTTTCAATGAGGAAAACTGACAAGGTTTAAAGGCTTGGTAACTACTAACAATTCAATTGTTGGATTTGTTGACTTGTTGCTGCCCTTGATTCCATTGATCCATTCAATCCTTTGGAGACTGGGGGTGGCCCCATGATACTATGATAGTAATCATAGTATGATCCCATCAGGTAAAACAGTATCAGCCTACTGCATATATGAATAGCATATATCTGAACTGGTCATCTGGTAATACCAGTCACTCTCCCTTATTCTCAATTTCTCATTCTGTTTTATCTCATTACTGTACTAATTGGCTATTTGGCTATGATGATGCTTCCACCACTCTTTGAAATGGCATTGGGTTGGTCTGTTGCTCATTAGTTTTGATTTCTATTCCAAAACTGAAAGTAGCGATTTGCTCCCAATTCTACATTGAATGAAAACATAGCAATCTGAGCCTTCTTTTTTTTTTTTTTTTTTTTTTCAGCACAAATGTGCAACTGTAATTGGTGTGAATATGTGATGTTCATGGTTTTATTTAACTTGTGTTTTGTCTTTTCGTAGGAAGATGATGAATGCTGAATTCTTATTCTAAATTGCTGATTCTAAATGCTGAATAGTGAATACTGATAGAGTGATTGTGACTTTTGTGTTTTGGTGTTAGAGATTTTTGTCTTTTTGTCTCAATTCATATGTAAGAATTAAGATTGTATGTATGTTTGAGCATTTTACTAATTTACTTAGTCTTCTAGCATAGTAGCATGTCTACAAGACTTAGTAAGTCACTTAACATTTGAAAGTTAGTTACTACTTAGGCAATTTTTAAGTTAAGCTTGTTATTTTAGTTTTTTTATTTCAAATCCGAATCCGATCCGACCAAATTCGAACTTTGTAAAACCGAATGGAATTTCCTATAAAAATTAACGGATAGGAGTTAAAAATGCAATCCATAATCCGATCGGGCAGTTTCGATATCCGAACGCCCGAACCCGTCCGATGCACACCCCTAATTACAACAGCAAATGAAAATGTTTGGAGCAAAGACACCTTTTTTCTGTGTCACAATAGAAGATTCCTTATTACCAGGAGTCAAGTTTCCACTCTGAGACATGTAAGGGAAAAGTGAATGTAATTTTAAGTTTTTAACAAATAACAATAGGGTTTTTTGTCATTATAGGATTTATAAGTTCCTTGTAGGCTTGTATTTCACTCTTGTGAATCTTAAATGTCAAATCTTGTGATTCTAAGATCTATAATTTCTGTGAGCCCTGTCATATCATTTTCCCAGCTGTACTATTAAAAGACCCCATGAGGACATTAGCATGCACTATAATATAACAATATCCACACTAAGGATGTGAGGCTTTAACAAACAAATTAAAGAAAGGTATGGAGTGGTTTTGTGATATGTTTTCTCCGATCCAGTAAAAGGGTATGTACACTACTACATATATACAAAATGTGATGGCATTGCATACCTTCCTGTCTGCTAGCTTACGGTTTATGGCATTAAGCACATTGTTGTACTCAGCAACCTTAACCTACAGCCATAAATTACCAAACAAAAATTACAAGTTTGACAGAGCTTAGCTTCCAATGATAAATTTAAAATAAACTCAACTTTTCGGGCATATAATGGGATTGAAAGGCATATATAACCAGTTTCCTGCTCAGCAATTACATATGCCTCATAATATGCACAATGGAGTCCAAAACATGAAAATTCTAGTGAAGTGAAAGACCAAATGTAGCTTCACAATAGCATAGTGAAACAATTATCCTCATCTTGCTACCTATCTTGGTAAAAGATTTAGTTCATATAAGAAACATGTTGTACAAACTGTTACTATCTACTAAAAATAACAATTTTTTTTTGAATGTCTTGGAAATAAATGTCATATTAAAAGGAGAAAGCACTAGATATCTTTTCCAGAATTTTTATACAATTTTATCTTAGAGATAAATAACTAAAACTCAGAGATCTAAAAACATATAGATAAATCACAAATAGTATTTCTTATCTCAAAGATGTCTAATTGATACAAGGAAACTAGACAATGAAGACTACTTTGCTTCAAAGTCTAGAAATGTTGTGTAAATATTAAAAGAAAAACGCGCGCTAAATAGGAAGTTATGGTGCATCAATTGGAAACTGTGATGATATTATCAGTATTGGTGCCTGCTAGTTAGTTTTTAATATAAGAAAATTTTATCAAAAAGAAAAGGTTTACGGATAAGACGATAAAGCATCCTCATTACAAACTAATACCTTAAGGGACTATAAAAGAGGAATGTAATCTCAGAAGATTAGGTCCATACCTTTCTTGAAAATATACGCTAATCTTCTTTCCAAACTTGTCTGATAATACCGCGTATAGTCTTTTAGAAATCAGCTTCCTAAATCAGATCTTCAGTGTCAGTCCTTCTGTTGTTGCTTCTGATTGATCAGTCGTCTGTAGAGCTGGACGGACATACTCTAAACCTATCTTAGTATGCCATAATAATATTGCCAATTATAATATGGGATTTTTGAACATTTAAAAACACTAACACGTTTCGTTGTTGATTTGAAAAGAAAATGATGAGAAAAATGAAAAAAAAAAGTCATGAAAATGTTGAAAAGAGATGAAGAAATGAAAAAGAAGAAGTTCAATAAAAGTTTGATAGTTTGATTTGAAAATTGTTTTCAACCTCCACTACTTTAGAGTGTTGTTTTGTGTTTAATTAGTTTTAGTTGCTCCTTAGTTCTTTGATGCCATATCTCTTCCAATCTCAATTGTGAATAAGTGTGAAGTTCTCTCTTTTGTTTGATTTCCTTACCCGTTCTTTGTCAACCATTCACCCTTAGCCCCATTACAAGCCTAATAAAAGTCCTACTTGATCTTAGCATGCAATCTTAGAGTTAAACTAGTGGGAGTATGAAGGGCAAGCCTATGGAATATTGTAATACCCACTAACTTAGAAATAAAAATATACCTATGTTATTAAAATAGGTCAACAAGTCAAAGGTTATTAAAATTGATATTGGATTAATTTACTAAAGTACCCCTCTTTACCCTTAAAGGTTAAGGAACCACTTTGGTCTTGGATAAACATTTCATTTGAAAGAAGATAAGGGGAGCTAACTAGAGAGAGATAGGGGAAGGAAAACCATGGAGCTTTGATCTCCATCTTCTTCAAGCTTAGATCTCAAAGCTATTGGAGTATTCTAGGTAAGTTTGACCTCTATATTTCACTCTTTGAGTTGGGTTTATCATTTGAGCCCTAAGATTAATGTTTGAAAATATTAGGATTTTGACAAGGAGTATTTGGGCGAGCTTAATAGCTAAAATT